TATTAATAACACTATTAGGCCTAATAGTCTAATCTTAACCCTATTTATCTTTAGCGCCTACCCTTAAGTAACTAAGGATTTAGCGCTATCTCTAGGTATTGCAAAGCGTTAAGAAGCTGTGCAAAAGGCTACTAATAAACTCTACTATATACACACTAAGTAATAAGTCTCTAATACCCTTATCCTCTATAACAGCCTAAATATGTTATTAACACTTACCTTCCTACTATAGTTAGATATTCTTATATAGTATAAGAATAAAGGCTAAGCTAGCTTATATAAGCTTCTCTCTATTAATAGGGAGGACTATACACTTAACCTACTTTATAGGCTAAGAACGTTTTAATTAACCTATATTAAGCTTTTTTATGATAACTTAGATGAAGATGTTATTAATACTAACTCTCTACTAAACGCCTCTAAGGTATTAGTAACGCTAGCAAAAGAAGACTAAGAAAGATTACTAGCGCTAGCGCTACTACTACTATGCTAATATAGCTAGCCTTATAAAGGAGAAGAACGCCTAAGGCTACCTTTAGGTAAGCTATGCTAAAGTTCATAAAGATAAATACCTATAGCGAAGATAGTTAATATTAACCCCACCCCTAGCATTAACTTCACACTAGAGGTTAATAATATTAACGCTACTACTGCATTCTTCGCTACTAATAAAGTCTTTTTAACTAATAAGGAACATACTAACCTCAACCTAGCTATATAGCTCTATAAGGCAGGTAAGATTAATACGCCTAGCCGCCCCTTTAAGCAATCTAATAAGGTTAAAGTTAAGAGACTTATTAATTGAGGCGTCTTTGAGATAACTATATATAACCCTATTAACTACACTAATATCTATATCTTTTGATTGCAGATAGTTAATAAGATTAAGAATAAGAACACTAATAAGCCTTATGAGAAGTCTCGCCTTATTATCTAAGGATATGCTAATAACAGTAAGGAGGTGATCTTAATGCAGTTACTAATAATATAGCAGGTAAGCTAGCACCTCATCCTCACTATTATACTATTATTACTACTCTCTAGTAAGATCCTCTAGCTTTGCAATATAACGTAAGCATACGTCTAATTAACTATAAAGCTTAATAGGATGATCCTTATGCACTTACCTATCTAGATTTAGGATTAGTACCCTAAAGGGACTATCATAAGAGTTATTAAGCTGCTCTATAGTATCACTAAGGCTAGCACCTACTAGTAGGCTATATATAGCTGCTACTATAGAGAAGTTCTCTAGATAGTTACTTTAAGCTATAATCCCTGCCTTTTAGTCCCCTTACCTGTTAACCCTAACTTTGTAGTTATCAGTATATAAACTAATAACACTTTAGGCCTCACTAATGCTAGTTTCTCAGCTTATGAAGACGAAGCGCTAACTAAGGCCTTGTTTACAGCAAAAGCTAAGCAACACCTTACTATTAACTAACTACTAACGTTTAACAGCAGTATTATTAGTATTAATAAGTTAGGTATAATTATTCTCCGCTAGAAGGGCTAAGGCAAGAAGCTTACCCTCGTTGACGCTAACACTACCCCTAACGCTATCAAGAAGTAATATATTAAATAACGCGCGCGTAGCGTATATATCGCGTCGATCTACTAGCCTAAGGTATACTTCAATCTATTAACTGCTGCCTAGTACTAAGACCCCTCACCTAATAATATTAAAGCCCTTAACGTATAACTATAGTAGCAGATAGCCTTACTAACGTAAGGATTAATATTTATACCTATTAACTTATTAACTACTAAACTCTTCGTCTTTATTAACAGCTTATTCGCTAATAACGCTAACCTAACCTTACAGCTTAGCTTCACTATTATTCTCGCTAATAAGACCCCTCCTAATAAGAATAAATTCACAGTTAATAGTAATATTGTCTACTTTAGTTTAACAAAGAGCAAGTAAGTCACTTGAAGTATACTAGCCTCTAAGGTCTACAGCATAGTCGCTAGTATCAATATAGCTTACGCTATCTCTATAACCCTCCAAATAATCGCTAAACAGCTCAGCCTACCTCTAATACCTACTATTATCTATACTAACTTATACTCACTATATAAATACCTTATCAAGCTAGGCACTATAAAGGAGAAGCATTTAATAATTAATATTATAGCTCTATAGCAGTTGTATAAACACTATAAACTATGCAAAATTTAATAGATTAATAGCAATAATAACCTCACTAACGCCTTCATTAAAGCGAAGCCTAACTAGTACCTCACGCACTTCCTTAATATAAACTCAGTAATAATACAGATAGAGGGATAGGTTACATAGGCCTGAGCGGCGCTAATCGCTAGCGCCAGCCTAGGGCAAGATTAAGCGACAGTTATAGAGCAACTACTGTAGCAGGGGTTATAGGTAATTACTACTTTTCGCATTATATGTTATTTAACGACTTCTTTTCAAACTATACTATAGTTACTGTTAACTGCGTTAACGCTAGCAAAAAGAGAAAGTTACTAGTGTCAGCAACGCTAGCCTATCGCAGTGTTAATTGAGCTAGGCGCGCCTTACGTAATCAGCGATTACGTAAGGCGCCGACCTCCGCGATCAACGCCGCGATCGCGGCCGCTACCTCTAACGCAGTTAACCTCATACACATCACCACCAACGTAGTTAATATAATATGATATTTACTGCCCACAGTGACCCTTACCAGCTAGCTGGTCCTGTGAGACCAACAGGGAGAATACCCAACCACCAGAAGCGTGTGTCATCTCAGCTGAGGTTGTGATGTTATCAGGGATGGCCAGCGCAGCATATAAGGACATCAGCAATCCTTCGATCACAACGACACAGACGGAGACGATTTCTGTTCAAGGTTATGTCAGCCAATTTGATTTCCCGCGAGAAGTTTAAGTGTCAGGCATAGCAAGTATTTATAACCAACTCGGTTGGTGTCAGGGGAAGAGGTGAAGGTGGCGCTGCGGATTCGCATCCTTGCTCGTGAAGGCAAGGTGTGGCGACGTGAGTCTAATAAATATAACTCGAGCGGTTTCAAATTATTGTTACTAGTCGCAAAATGTGATCCTCTTGTCGCGTTTTGTTCTAGCATGAAGCCCCTATTATGGTAATCTTATGATGTGAAAGATGTTATGACACGTGATAGAGCAACCTCCGGCGGATCCTCATGTCCTGAATTGAGTCTTCTGGTCTTCTCTATCGTTGCTTTATTATTCAGATATTTTGTGGCACAGCAAACAATTCCGTCTACTGAAGTTCAAGCAGAGTATATCCCGGCATAATCATGGTACGAATGTCTCCGCTGTATCTCTCAAAGTCAACATCGCCCGTCAGATCATGATCTCCTCGGGGTGGTCGGCGGATGGATTTGTCTACCTTCAACTCTGGTTGACTTCACCTTAAATGTTTATCGAAAAGCTAAGGGATTTAGACTGAACGTGCGAATTTGAGATCGTCACGGGTGTAACTGCGTTGTGATCAATGTGGCAGGTGTTTTCGAGGCTGTGAGGCAAAGAACTAAAGGAGGTTTGTCTTATAAATGTATTTAAAGTGGGATTGCCTGATTCAACCAAATGAAGACATCCTTCCTGGTTATTTGAAATGCGGAGATTCCTAGTATGATGACTTGGACCATGGCATATAAGGCCGTCAAGGTCTATTGGAGCGGTCTCATGGACTCACTGTCGGCAGCAGCAGCTCACTGGTTGGTTTCTGTCATTATGGCCCGCATATTCTTGGGTGAATAAAGGTTGTACTATCCGAGCGGGTGCTCCTAGCTGACCGGAAGAACTACTATGTGCAAGCTGCTTAAATCATGATGGGGTGTTGCTTCTTGATAAGTATCACTCTTACTACAATGGTCGTCTTCGCCATCTTTGTCGTTTGTCTCCTCATGCTCGCCGTCTTCGTCATTACGCCCGTTAAGTCATCGTCACTTGAATATGGGATCGAATTACGAAGTCCTCAACCATGTACAAAATGTAAGTAATAATTGTCAGATTGCTTCATTTTATTGAACTTCTAGCATCCTGGCACAAAAGCTTGCTAGAAGTCCCTGTTCGCGAGACCGTGTGAAGTCAGTCACTTCAATCTGCTGCTGGCTTTGGGCTGCGTCCTAACAGCGCGATTTTGAGATACGCGATCTGCAGCGTAGCGCAAGAGAGCATCACGAAAGAAGATCAGAGTGTTCATGACGAATGTATGGCATGAGGATGCCAGGTGTGGCATAGTTCCAGGCTTCGTCTGTTTCTGAAGACGTCTCTTGGTTCATCTTGGGAGCAGTTTCGCCTTCTGGATCACGGGGAAAACCTGGATACTCTGAACGATGACGAGGGCCTGGCACAAGACGGCGAAAGTGGCGTGGGGGGACAGTACGGTGACCCAGAGGATGACTGAGAAAATAATCAGATGCCGAAGCAGAGTTGCTGTAGCATTATATTACAGTAAGTGTAAACACCCCAAACGCCTAAAAAATAAACATCATTCCTGATGCACCTTCCATTCTCCCCAGTCATAATCCGGTGCTCGTCTCTTACTGAGACATGCCGCAACCCATACTATCCCGATCATACTCAAAAACACAAATCCGAAATACTTTGCAAAAGGAGCCATTGGCAACTCCCGGTCCGTGTACTTGAGCAGTAGGAGACCGAACGCCGCAGGAACGCCCCAAATGACCACAAGTACCATTTGGATTACGAACAGGAAACCTTGATGGGCCTGAAGGCGGGGAGGGCCGGATGAGAAAATGCCGAATCGCCCCGGTATGTGCAGAATTTCTGTCTGGATATGGTAGCCACGGATGGCGATTGCGAGGTGAGACGTGTTGAGGCGGTTATCAGCTCCTATTTCTGGGCCAAAGATTTGGTTGATGGTCGACGCGATGCCCATCGTGATGAAGTGACGTTTAGCTGGCATGTCTCCACGATACACAACTACTTGAACATGTCTAAAACTTTGGGCCTATTGTACCATGTGCCATGATGTATACACAAAGTGAACTACATTCTTATACAGTCTTCTCTTCTCCCGACCTAGCTTCTTCCGATTTAGGCTTCTGCTTCTCCCAAAACTTCCTGTACCGTCCCACGGCACCCGACCCATCCTCTCTCTCAACCCATTTCAGCCACTCCTCATCGGGTTCCATTAGGTCATGGCAGTCTGACTTAGCTCCAGACTTGAGCAAGATCTCGACAAGATCCCAGTACCCTTTGACCACAGCTGCGTTGAGTGCACTGCCGTACTTCCCGCCGCGAGCGTCTGCATCAGCGTCCTAGCTGATGAGACGTTCCACCACATCGGCCTCGCCCGCACACACCGCCGCGTCAAGTGCGCTGCCGTACTCTCCGCCACGTATGTTGACCAACTTGACTTTGGCGTTCGGCCCAGCGCCATCATCATCAGAGTCAAAATCATGGTAACCGTCATTGCCAAGAATTCGTCTTATGGCATCAATGTAGCCGTAGTACGCTGCCGCCTGCAAAGCTGTGCCAAATTTGCCCCCTGTCACGCCAATATCGATTCCGGGGCAGCTGTCGAGAAGGGAAAAGGGGACCTCTGAGCCCATAAAACGCTCATTATATGGTATCATAAACGCCGACTGCAAGGAAAATCCATACGGGCCGCCTCCGGCATTGATATTGGCGCCATGTCCAATCAGGAAACGAACCCTTTGAATGGTTAATTCTGGGTCTTGAGAGCAATGGATTGCGGCTTGCAAAGCAGTTCCGTGCATCCGACCCCTGCTGTCATTCACATCGACACCGTGAGTGAGTAGCATCTTCAGCGCATCGTTGGCACTGGGGGATTCCTCATCGATCTACGTGGCCGCAGCGTGCCAAGCGCTTCCGAAATGCCCGCCTTGAACGTGAACGTCGGCGCCATGTTCAATCAGTAGGCCCACGAGTTCAGTGTTGAGAGCCCACGTGGAAGAGCGTTCCCATGCGCAAGCCGCCTGTAGTGCGGTTCCATACTTGCCGTCTTCAATGTTCAGATCGCAGCCATGAGCGAGAAGTAAGCGCACCACGCCTATCCTACCTTTTGCGCAGGCGCCTTGAACTGCTGTGCCGTATTTCACCCCCTGCGTGTTGACCTCGGTGCCCTTACTAAGTAGTAAGCTTGCTATCGCTTCGCCAGACTCATCTCCAGATACACTTGCGGCTTGCAGCGCGCTTCCAAAATTTCCACCAGCAGCGCTTACATCGGCGTTCATTTCCAGCAGATGATGTACGATCATTCTCCTAGAACGAGAATCCCCCATCTCCCGCTTACTGTAACAAGCCGCCTGCAAAGCATTACCGTATACTCCTCCTTGAGCATTAACTTCTGCCCCTCTATCCAGCAACATACCCGCGATTTTCCAATGTTGAGCTGCACATGCTGCTTGCAATGCGGTTCCATAGTGGCCGCCTGGCATGTTCATGTCAGCGCCTCTATCGAGCAAAACACAAACTCCCACATAATTGCCGGCATAGCTAGCAGCCTGCAATGCATTGCCGTACTTCCCCCCCTGAGCATTTACTTCAGCCCCCATCTTAAGTAAACCCATGACTACATCGTTATAGGACTCGTATTTATCCTGATCGAAGCTGTAGGCGATCATGTGCGAGCATGCTGCCTGAAGTGGGGAACCAAAATCGCCAGCCGGCAGGTTGACACTAGCTCCACGTTGGAGTAAAAAGTCCACAAAGTATCGCGTACTGTGATGTCCCATTATACTTGCTGCCATGCTTAAGGCAGTCCCATGAATATCGCACTGCTTGTTGACATCAGCGCCATTGTCAATTAGAAGCTGCAAACTTCTATTGTAGTTCGCCAACGGCGTCCAGTTTGGAAGTTGCTCTGGTATCGTACCCCAGGAGCCACAGAATCTTGTGGAAAGAGAGGATAATGTAGACGTCAAAGGACATCCCGACTTATACGCATCGGCACCACAACTCAGGAGTAAGTCCACAATTTCTGGTTGATTTCGTGATGCAGCTAGCTGCAGAGCTGATTCCCCTATGTCGTTCTGCGCATCGACAAGAGCACCCTTGTCGAGGGCAAACTGAACGGTTTCTAAGCTTCCGGCCAACGTAGCGTCATGGAGTATCAGGTCGAGATCTTCCTGTGTCAAATAGTCGGTTGTATCAGATGATGCAGAGAGCAGCAAATCGGTGAGGTTCAGAAAGCCAAGTGCGGCAGTATAGCAATACGACCGCCGGAGATAATGGTTTGCTCGGGCTTGGGCGTATTCACAGTAGAAGCTTTCTTGACCCTGCATTCCGGTTTTCAAAATCTCCCTGAGACTGCGACTGTGCACAGCAAGAGCGGGTGCAGCGAGGCGGACGATCTCGGAGGTCCATATGTGCCGCAGCACCATTTCAAGATGCCATCCCCAGAGGCCAGCTGCGTAATTTTCCACAGGGAGCCTCCTTCTATCCAGATCTTGTCTGTTTTGTAAAGATGATAAACGAGACAACAATGCGAAATATGCAGGTGAGCTTCATTCTCGTTGAATGAGTAGCAAGCCGCAGGACCTTTGCTAATTTGACTGGAAATCAGATACTCCTTGACGGTAAAGTGGGCAAGTCGTACGTATTTTTTTGTCCCGGATCGCCTCCACATCGTGCTCTGTTTCTGGATAGTGACAAGACTTGATACATATCGCAAAACGTCTTCTGGCTCAAAGAGTCGCTCCGCTATGTTAACCCCGACAGGGCGTTCGGGATGAAGGATGAATATCTCTGCAAGTTCTTCAAGCTCGAGAGGTCTATTCGAAAATGCGAGCCACTTGAGTAAGCTCAGAATCTGAGCTTGAAAATCAGCTTCTATGCTGAGCAGCAGCCTGTCATACGTCGCGTCGAGCCCCTTGGGTAGATTCTTCAGCGCCGAACTGATGAGAGCGTTGGAGCGAGGGTTCCGCAGTCCTTCAAATTGGCACACAAGGTATTGGAACCTAGCACCAGGGTCAGTTTGGGTCGAATGTTGTTTTTTGGAAGCCCTCCTTTGACCTACATTCCATCTGCCTTCTCAATCAGCAGCCTCTTCGCATCGGCCTTGAGCTCGCCGGGCCATGAACGGTAATCATCGGACTCCAAAACTGAGCTGATATACGTACTCATGTCGTTGTGTACGCCCGTAGTATCTTCCGTGAGGTTAATCTCAGTTCCGCAAGGTGAAGACAGTAGCTTATTGAATGTTGTGCTGATATCTGGCTCTGCCCTGCTCGTACAAAATAAATGTAAATTGTCGGGCATTGCAGCTGCTATGCGAGTTAGGGAAGCCAGCAACTTCTTTCGCTCTCTGTTAAGGATAGGGCATTCATCGAGGGCGTCGATGACGATGAAAACGTCTGAGAATGTACGGGTAGCCGCTATTAAAGCCTCCTCGAGTGTCTTTGTGTCTGGTCGTTCGCCTTTTATCTTGTAATTCTCGAAGTTATTGATGGCCTGTGGCGTATCGGGGCGACTGGCACATAATTGCTTGACTAGGGAAGAGAGCATGATGGCCACACTCTGTTGCTCCAGGCTTCCAAAGCTGAAGTAGAAGTATGCGAGTGCGGTTCCGGGATCGGATCTGCAATTATCTTGCAAGTGCTTTATAACAGACGAGCTCAGAATCGACTTTCCAGAACCAGCTATGGGAATATTAGCAAGAGATTTCCCAGGCAGCATTGGTATGGCAGAGCTTTCATACGCTTTCCACTGAGCCATAGCAAAGATTTCGGGGATTCCATCCACGTTTTGAAGTCCTTGCTGTCCTCAAGCAACCAGCTGCACGTGCCGGCCTGGTGTTTGTCGCGTGCGGCGTTATATAACGCGGAAGTATCAACTGCACACAGCCACTGAAGGAGCTCCATGCGCTTTCCCTCCCTCTGAGCCTCTCGGACTGCTGACAGGAGACCGGACACGTCCGTGCCGATATTTTGCCAGCAAGAAACGAGCTGCTCGTGTCTCCGCTTAGCCGTGAAACATTCTTCTTCGTATCTGACGTCCCGGCAACGATCGAGAACAGCAGAAAATACTCTCTCTTGCTCTTTGGTCTTCTCTAGAAGGTCTTCCCACTCATGCCACCTCACCGAGTCCAAGCCCAAGCGGTAGGCGGTGCTACGGGCGTAGTAGCAGTAGCTAGTTATTTGAAATTTGGGGACATGATGGTATAGCGTTGTCGGAGCACTTCGGTACGTAATCTGAGATGGACCGCCAGTCTCGGACTCGGAGTAGCGCTCATAAAGATCCTCCTACAGTTAACTCTGAACAATCACTGACGAGATATATTCTAGTCCCTGGGCTAAAGAAGCGATCTGCTCAGAGGGATTCAAGAAAAGCTTCGAGAACTCATTAGCCCTCAAGATACAACATAGTTGATTGTTCATGAAGTCAAACTTACCGGCGGCAGCAGACTGACGCCGCCCCCGGCGAGTGATGCAGAGGGATTTGCGCGCACAGCCTTGGAGATAAAGTCGTTGGCCCAGCTTACAACGCCCAAGATTGGCTTCACCACGTCCTTGACTAGTATCTTCGAGCTTCCAAACTTCAGCTTCCACGAGTCCCTGTTGACTTGCTCCATCTTGCGCGTGAGAATCGAATCCATCCAGTCTCTCTTGGTGGTCCGGAAGCCTGCGGTCTTACTCAGGCCAGCGCTAAGGTCTCCCTCGATCTTCTTTTCGAAATCCACGATCAGCTGTTCATCTTCATCCCTCAGCGCTCCGCACACCAGGTCCCAGAGCTCCCGTATATTTCCCTCGCTGCCTTTGCGAATAGGCGCTGCCTCCTGTGTTGTATCCTGCTTTCGACGGACTGGGCGAATCGATTGGGTCATTGGAACTAGCCTTCCCGCTGGCTGTACCATCGTCTCTAGTAGCGGGCTGTTGTTGGTCTTGCTTAACGGGACCCTAATTTTGAGACGAAGTGTCGTCCTTGGAGCTGCGCCGTCCAAGTTTGCGTCTGAACTTCCTGAAAGACATGTTGCCAGAGATAGCTCACGAATAGGTTAGAGATGGGAAGCACCCAAGATCAGGCTGGGCCTTTCGGGGGGGTAGAAGAAGATAAGCGCGCATTGCCTGGTGTGGGTTCACATTCATGGCCAAGCCTTATGCTCACCCAACAACGCCGTACGACCAAAAGGGACAACACGAGCAGGCTGCGGCAGCTTGCATGGTCCATGCTCAAAATGGTGAACTTATTTGCAGGGAAAGACTGAAGATCTGAATGACACAGCACATTAATGGTCTCTGCGTTTGCGCCTTGAGAGACTGGGAAGGCTTCTTCAAGCTGGCCGGCAGGTGCGATGATCGTAGCCATCCGACCGAATCTCGAAGTCAGAGAAGAATAAGGCGAGGAAGCTCATATTGCCCACTTGTTCATAGCCAATTTGCAGACAGGTTGGGGGCGCGATGAATATGTTGTCCACGCATTATTGGGTAAAGAATAACTCTCCTACTCTAAATCAACCTAGTCAAAGTGAAGTTATGTGCAGACATGAAGTGAACCAAAGCTCATCCGCCGGCGCCCGGGCCTCGGGACGCTGCCCCACCGGAGCCACTGACGCCGACCTCCGACTCCACCCAAAATTTCCAGCACTCTCCTTCCTCCATCCCACCTCAAACAGCATTATCTCTCGATCTCGAGGCCCCCAAGTCGCTGTTTCTTGTCGCCTTCGCCCCGACTAGATCGACCGATAAAATGGCTACTTCGAAGGGCCTTCCCCGCGATACCTTCGCAAAGCTCTCTCCCCACCCGTTCCTCCTCGCGAACCTCCAACCGCCCGCGCCTGCCAACTCAGCCCGTAGCAATGGCCGACGTCCTGACGAGGCCCGAATCCCAAACATCAACACGTCCTCCCTCACACACGCCAATGGCAGTGCCGTTGTTCGTACCGGCGACACAACCGCCATCTGTGGTGTTCGCGCCGAGACCATCCTCGCCTCCGACATTCCCAACTTCCGCCGCCACAACGCCCTTACCACAACCGAGACGGACGGCGCCGCAGAGCTGAAGGACTACGACTTGCTCGTCCCGAATATTGAGCTTGCCACTGGCTGCGCGCCTCAGTTCCTCCCCGGTGTTCCCCCGACGACCCTCGCCCAGACCCTGAGCACACGAGTCTACTCTCTCCTGCACTCCTCCAAGCTTCTCGACGCCGAGGATCTGAGGATATGGTACACCCGCCCCTCCGAGAACGCTGCCGAAGACGATGACGAGGACAAGATGGAGGAGGATGGCGGAGACAAGGAGGAGGGCGAGAAGGTGGTCATTGCGTACTGGGTCCTCTACATCGACATTTTCTTCATCTCCCTTGACGGCAACCCGTTCGACGCTGCCTGGGCCTCCGTCCTCGCTGCCCTGCGCGACACGACTATTCCGATCGCCCGCTGGGACCCGGACCGTGAGATGGTCATCTGCTCCCGCGACAACCCCAAGCCCCTTACCATCAACGGCTTCCCCGTCGCTTGCACGGCGGGTGTCTTCACGGGCAAGGAGACGACCGACAAGCCCGCGGACGGCAAGTTCTGGACTCTGGTGGACCCGGACACATTGGAGGAGGGACTCTGTGACGAGGAGGTCACGGCGGTGGTTGATCGCAGTGGAGAAGAGACCAAGATTCTGGCGATATCAAAGCACGGCGGCACGGCGCTGCAACCGCAGCTGATTCGGGAGTTTGTCGGTGTTGCGGAGCAGAGATGGGAGGAGGTCAGGAAGGCCATGCCATGAAGATAATGATACCCGGTAAAGGAAACAGAAATCAAAAGTTTTGGGGAAATCAATGTTTGTCTCCCCTTCATTGTACTATGTATCCTCTCTTGTTTTTGCTTCAGTAAAGGCAAACGCGCGCATGTTTCCTGTCATGAGCTTTGATGAGTCGACAGTCCCCATCACCAGCCGCACCCACCCGATGCGGCTGTCATGAGAAGGAAGCTGCACAGCTACATGCACCCGCCTTAACACGTCTTGTTTACTTCTTTCCAAAAGATTTCTCTCTGGCTCCTGGAAGAAACAAAACCAAAACACCTTTCACCGAAACGAAGGGTTCTACCATTCTTCAACGAAACCGAACCCCTCAAACACCCGCGATTCGACGATCATGTCCGACATCGATATCTCTAAGCGCCTCGTTGCCGGCGACAAGGATAATCTCCTTCAGATCCTCCAGACGGTCGTCGATGCGGATGCAAAGACCCGTGAGCTAGTCACCAAGCTCGCGGACCACCTTCACATTCCCAAGGTCTTCAGCTCGCGCCGCGCCACGCGCAACACCGTTCGCGCCTCGTCGGAGGCTTCGCACGACTCCGGTATTTCGGTCCACCACATGCTCGGCGACGTTCTTTCGCAGCCTGAGCGTGCCCTTCGCGTCTGCAAGCAGTGCCGCAAGGTCTACGACGAGAACGACGAGGACAAGAAATGCGGATCTCATCATCCTGGTACGTCTACTAATCACCTTGAGCTTATAGTTATGCTAACAATAATCTGCAACAGGCGAATGGCTTATAGAGGTAGAGACAGAGGATAAGATCGGCTTTCACCATGCCAGTAAGGCCAGCGACGACATCAAGGACAACGTCAACTTGATGTGGGTGATGTCCTGCTGTAGCGAGGAGAAGGGCAAGCTCAGCACCGGCTGCACGGTTGTCAACCACGTTGCCATGAAGGCCGGTGACGACTCGGGCTCCAGCTCCGCCTGATTTCCTTTTCTAGTTCGCAACACGACTTTATGAGATATGAGCATACCTTGGGAAGGAGTTCTTTGGGGGGACTTGTCTTTCGCATCGTACAGACGAATTAAGGACGTGAGGAGGAACAGTGAGGCTGGAAGGAATAGGAATAGGCGTTTGATGCAGGATATTCCGGCAGGGCAACATCCATTAGAGCAAACGGCAGTCGACTAGCACTAGGCAGACGCATCAGCTAGGCAAACAAAATTCGCTCGAGGTTTTGTCCACAAGACTGGGCAGTCAATCACAGCTCACGTCTACGGTGAAAGTATGTATTCCACAATTCGAGCCACCTTTTCAGACGTTATTCCAAGGCAGTAGATACTAGGGAAAATATCTCTCTACCGCCCGGCGCCGAGGAAGCCTAATGAAAGGCCCTCATAGGCTGCGAATCTACTGTTGGTGACTCGCGGCTGGTATACCGGGCGGATGGTTGAAGAAGAGAAGAAAATCCGCAAAGCCCAGCGACGCGCCAGAAATTTTTAGAGTGGGCGGCTCTACCGTGCGAGCAGACAGTGCCTTACGTAACACCGCACCCAGAGCCTCTATTTCCCCACTAAGGGCCCCCATCGTCAAAGCTTCCTCTTTTCCAACCTCACATCTCCTCGCAAACTTTTCTTCGATTCCTCTCTCTTCCCTCCTCGACTCGGATACCCTCCAGTCCGACATGGAATCGCTGGCCGAGAACACGTGGGATGTCATCATCCACGGTACTGGCCTGCAGCAGTCGCTGCTAGCCTTGTAAGCTTCTCTTTCTTCCTCAGCATTCTCTTTTTTCCACACCCGCGAAAATGTCGTCGTTGCTGCTTCCAAAAGCCTCGATCTGACTGACGCAGCCCTCTCCGGCCGTAAAGAGCCCTCTCCCGCTCAGGAAAACAAATCCTGCACCTCGATCCCAACGAGTACTATGGCGGTCCCGAAGCCGCCTTCTCCCTCCAGGAGATGGAAGAATGGGCTGCCGCCAACGCGTCCAGCTCAGGCGTCTTCTCCTCGGCGAAGATAACAAAGGCAGAGCAAGGCGTCTCTTCCCCTCGAGCCTATTCTCTTGCCCTCGCGCCGCAGATCGTACACACGCGCTCGGCACTCGTTACCCAGCTCGTCGATTCCCGCGCGTACCGGCAGATTGAGTTCCTCGCCGTGGGATCCTTCTTCATCTACACCCCGTCTGCTGATGACGGCGGCGCGGCAGCGATCGTGCCGATCCCCTCCACCCGCGAAGCCGTCTTCTCCACGACCGCGATTCCGGCGAGGGCGAAGCGGTCGTTGATGAAGTTCCTCAAGTTCGTCTTTGACTACGACTCGGAGGATAACCGCCCGACCTGGACTCCCCATGCCGACAAGCCTCTGGCGGAGTTCCTTGCGACGGATTTCAAGCTCGACGCAGCGTTGCAGACGTACATCGTCACACTCACGCTTTCCCTCGACGGCACGATATCCACGCGCGCTGGCTTGGCAGCCATCCACCGCCACCTCTCATCTATGGGGGCGTTCGGCCCGGGCTTCGCGGCAGTGTACCCGAAATGGGGCGGCCTGTCGGAGATCGCGCAGGTGGGCTGCCGCGCGTGCGCCGTCGGCGGCGCAGTGTACATGTTAGGCACTGGTATGAAAGCCACAAGCCCACTGGAAGCCCAGGAAGATGGCGCAACGTTCGAGGTTGATCTGACCAGCGATGTCACGGTGAAAACCCGTGAGCTGGTCCGCGGTGCTGAGGATGTGCCGTCAGACGCAGAGCGTGTGAGCAGATTGACAGCCGTCATCGACTCGCCTCTCTCATCGCTGTTCCAAGCCGCCGTTGAAGGCGCGCCGACGCCTGCTGTAGCCGTCATCGCGATGCCTGCGGAGTCCGTAAAGGACGTCGCGTCACCTTATCCCATCTACGTCTTTGCTCACTCGAGCGAGACGGGAGAGTGTCCATCTGGTCAGAGTAAGTTCACGCCGTCTTTCTTCTATTTTGTTGTACATGATGATTTGTCAAAACTTATCTACATTGCCTGAGCTTATGCTTCGACGAAAACTTTCTGTGACCCTGATCGTACACCTTTTTATATACTTTGACTCTGCAAAACCATGTGTCAACATCTGGCTAACGAGTCATCGCAGGCGTCCTCTA